GCTAAAGAAATTTAGTTTTTTAGAAATTCACAGAAGTACTATCATGAAAAGAGGAAAGGTCATTAATTCAGTTTAAGAGATTGGGGAAAGTTTGTTGAAAATGAAATTTCTGAATTATTAAGATTGATAATTCATAGAAAGGGCAAAGTATTTTAGGGACTCTGCCAAACATACAGTTGGCTAAAACTCCAATCTTAGACCAAAGAAACATCTTAGAAACATAGGCAGCAAAGACTTCCAGTTCCAGAAATTATAGATTCTGTTACATAAGTGTACTTATTAAGAATAATTAGAAGCATTAGGTTTTTTAAAAAATGAAATTTTTTTCAGAGGCGTGGTGAGTTTACAGGAAAGTAAAGAAAATATCCAAGAGACAGAACTAAGAAACTTTTGAACATTTGAACAACAGGACTAGATAGCATAGCTTTCCCACGTACTGTATACATAGATTTTTCTTGTTAGTTATTGTTACACAACAAACCATCTCAAACTTAGTGGCTTAAAATGACATTAGTGATTTCCTTTGCTGATTACATTTGGGACAAGCCTTTATCTCTACTTCATACAGCATCAGCTGGAGCAGTTTAACTGAGGGCTGAAGTATGCATTCTAAGATTATTGATTCATATTGCTGTTAAGACTATTATGATTGTCAGCTTGGACCTTAGCTGTGGCTGAGGAACAGGTGTCTTGATTCCTTTCTACATGGGCCTCTTCATATCCCCTGGGCTTCCTCACAGCATGGTGGCTAGGTAAAGAGGTTGTGTATAGCCTCAGAAGTCACAGAAGTCATAGACTCAGAAGTCACATAAAATCACTTCTGTCATACTTTAATAGGCAAGATTAAGTCACAAAAACCAGCCCATGTTCAAGTGAGAGGATAGACTCCAATTCTCAATGGAAAAGTAACAAAGTTCTAGAATATAATGTGAAACAGAAAATATTGTTGAAGCCATATTTGGAAAACTCACTGAGGCACAGAACTGGCAAAAGACAATCAGATACATGGATCTTGAGTTTAAGAGAAAGATTTGAAGTGAATGGTACAGTTTGGGGAAATAATGGGTACATAGATGATAATTAAAGCCACGGAATTGGATGAGTTCACCTAGGAAAAGTATTTAGAGTGAATAGGTGAGTAGAGAGAGAGAAGAATTTTTAAGGTGCACTAACTTTAAAGAAGTGTTCAAAGACACTAAGAAATGCCCAGAGATCAAAGAAAGAACATAGTTGTGGTGTGGGAATAGGAATGCAAAGCAAGGAAGCATTTTTTTTTAAAGTGTCAATCATACCAAAAGATTCTAGTAAAATAGGAACTAAACTCTAAGATTTAGGATGTGGTTAGCCATTAGCAAATTTGAAGAGAGTGGTTTTGATGTCTGGGAAGTATAGGAGCCAGATGAGTTGAAAAGAGTGTGAGTAGAAAATTCCCTCAGTAAAGGTGAAAGGATAGAGAGACATAGGAAACATGAGGCCAGGACAGTTGTTTGCTTTATAAAATGAAAGAGTTGAGTTTGTTTAAAAGGGCTTCTAACAGGAAGCCCGTAAGAAGAAGAAAATCAAAGATATGGGAGGAGAAGGGCCATAGATGGAAGAGTGACCAGGCTCTTGTGGTAATGTAAAATTCAGTGTATCTCTTGAATTTATTTCGCACAACTTGAGAAACACTAAGCTAAGACCATGTCCTTTGATTTGTATGTGACATAGGGCTACAAATCATCACAAATTATTTAATAATGTGGTATACTGTGGCATCTGGAATGAAACTGGGTGATTTTTAATGAGAAGACATATTTAATTAAATGCCATCATCAGGTAAAAGATGAACAGATTAGTACCATGTGTTTACAGTATATGTTTACGTACATAATACATGATCCAAGTGATCTCATTAGTGAAGCAGAATATAGAATATGCACTGAAAATTATGACTAGATTTTTTCATTGAAAGTCTTCTTCTGATTAGTGTTTGTATCCAAAAATATATATCAGTATAATATTATTTCATCTATTTACCGATTAAGCATTAATCTTTGTTTAATTTATGTTGACATTTTATAAGAACATTAACATTCAGTTTTTCCCTTTTATGTATTCTGAACACATTCATATTCAGCTTAGTTTACTCTCATTAATTTATGCTTGCATTTATATGGTCTAAGAAGTTCCATTGTTTGAATAATTATTTGTATACTAAGCAATAATAGATGTCATAAAATACAAAGCAAAATTTTGATTTAAGAGTGCTTCCAAAGCTAGATTATTGTGCTAAATATTGAAGTAATTATATTTTAAAATTTGAATCTATTGAACCAAATAAAATATTGTCCTAGGTATCACAGAAAAATGATAATGTTGAAAATTTGACTGACAATCTATCCTCATGCACAGAAAACTCAATAACTCTTACCTACCTAGACTATGATCTAGATTAAATAGAAAAGAAAATGTTCACAATAATAATACCACAACTATGAGTCTGCAAAGAGAAAGTGAAATGTGAGTGACAGAATACATCCAGAAGCGAAGTTATTAGTCTGAGACTTGCTATAGTTTCAAAATAAGTACATAAGAATAGAGGCAGAATGACAGACAGCTATGAAAAAGAGAGAAGGAATAGATATATATGATGATGAAAATGAATGAAGGCAGATAGGAGATGATTAAATATCAGAAAATATTGTTTACTGAGTCCCAGTAGAATAAATTAAATATGTTATTAATAAATAACATAGTGAGCACCAGAAAGGTAAAAAGTCATAATGATTACATTGAACAAAAAACAGTATAATAGGAATAAATAGTAGAGGAACTTTGTATATTAGTTGTTTTTGAATTTTAGTATTGTAATATTTTTTGCACATGAAATTTCATACATGCAATCACTCGATATTTGAAATAGATGAAAGCAGAAGTGCTCTTGGATTTTTTTTTTTTTTGGTAGAGGAGAGGGGTATTAGGAGCAGAGGTCCAGCATTGTCCACTCAATGCTATCTCACCAAAGGTTCTTATGCAAAGCTACATAAATCCTCCTAGCAAATTTATGGGTTCCTAAAAAAAGTAAGTCGCATGAGTAAGTTAAGGTACACAACTTGCAAAGCATCTTTACTTACATTTTCATGAACAAGTATTAAAATTTGTGCGTAGTTTCAGCATCAAACTGAAACCCAGGATCTTAGATTTAAATTCTAAAACTATTCAACTTTTATTTTTTTTCAGTAGAGTAAAATAAAGATTGAGAATTGGCCCTCGATTGGCATGAAAATTAGGAAAACAAAAAAATATTAAAACACAAAACAGCCAAGTAATGCCAGGTTATGTTTTAAATATGTAGGAGTTAAATACATTCATCCAAAGTCTTGGTGGAACATTTACGAGGATAGGGTCTGATTTCTAGTCCAAACTTGGGTGACTTTTTCTAATTTATGTTTCGAGGACACACACCTGTAATAGGGGACACTCTGTTCTTGTTTATACCATAAAGCAAATCTGTTTGAATTCCAAATTCTTACAGTTTTTCATGTATGGCTAAAAATCCTATTTCTCTTTGGCTAGTTTAAGAAGTGTTTAAGGCTATACAATTTTTATGTTTTCTGATTTTAGCTACTAATTTCATTGCTAAATTCTTTAAGAAGTCTAGAGTATTGGGTAATTCACAAGTATTTAACTTAGGAGTAGTTCATTGTGATATAAAGAAATTAGATTTTATTTTGTTAAAGTATTAATAGGCTCTTGAAAAAATTATCTTAGTAACATTTGTATCTCTATTCCACAGTAACTGGGTTTTAAAAAATTGTGAAGCATAATAAGATCATTCAAAAAGCCCTGGAACTGTTTCTTTTGTTCTTATTTATTGTGCCTCTTGATGTTGAAGATAGATTCTAAACAAGGAAATTCTAACAGAAAAGAATAAAAATTAACTGAAAATGAATGCTGTTGGTCATCTTTAGATGATGTTTTCTAAGTGATGTCATATGAAAAATGAGAGCCCAACCAACAAATCAGAGCCTATATTCAAATGGGCAAGACTAGGATAGAGTTGACGCTAAGATATAGGGAGAAAACTGCAAAATTTGCAAATAAATTAAAATCCTTGTATTTTTACTTAGCCAGTTATATTAACCAAGTTATCAAAATATGATTGGAAATGAATTTTGAGAACAATCTTTTTCTCTTTATGATGTTGTTTCATCATCTTTGTAGCAACTAGGAGCAAGACAAGGTGGGTTGTGCACCTGTTTCCCTGAGGTCCTCATACCTCAGGTGGTTTTGGTTCTGTTGGGTTTTGGAAGTGCTTTATCCTAGCTTTATGGCCTCCCTAGAAGCTATGCAGCTGGCCCCAATTCACTAAGGTTCTCAGATACCCCAAGAATGACTTTCCAGACAGCCTAACTTCTGTTTTCAAACATGATTCAAGGGAACTCTAAGATTTTGATTAAAAATGAAACTGCCACTGCACATACACAAAGGTAAAAATTTAAGCTCAGTAAAAACTGTAATCCAATTCAAGAATAGAAAAGATATACATACAGCTTAGGCAGGAGGGCATACCAAGGTAATTTAAATGTTCCTTCAATTAATATTCAAAAATTTCAAAAGTATATTATTATATTTTTTCATATAAGGAAAAAATACAGAAAAAAATTAGATTTATCACACCTAAAAGTCTCCAGCTTAGGATTTGCCACATTATCATGGAAGGCCATACATTACTTTATTTTAGTCAAATTTCCCTTTAATTCAAATTGGCTCCTTGATATAGGACTTCAATTCATATCAGCTTCATTTTACATAAGGCTTTGGGTACAAGCCCCAGAATTCATTAATTGATTGTAAAACTAGTTGCCTACCACTTTTACTGTTTATCTTACATTCTTAACATATCAATGATTCAGTGATTCTTATCTTTTAATTTCATATAATGTAGACTATACAGTCAAGTAGTTGAGTGTGCTAATAGTTTGTGGGATTTTTTTTTCTCTCTCTCTCTCTTCTTTCAGTCTGTTCCCAGTATTCTAGAGGAGTATTTGCCATTTTTGGACTCTATGATAAGAGGTCAGTACATACCTTGACCTCATTCTGCAGCGCCTTACATATCTCCCTCATCACACCAAGTTTCCCTACTGAGGGGGAGAGCCAGTTTGTGCTGCAACTAAGGCCTTCGCTACGAGGAGCTCTGTTGAGTCTGCTAGATCACTATGAATGGAACTGTTTCGTCTTCCTGTACGACACAGACAGAGGTAAGTTTGGATTCTTCATCTACATCAGTAATTTCTGAAAACTCTCATTTTCAATGTGAAATGACCTTCTATAACTTGTGTGATTTAGCAAAATATTTTGTTCTCTAACATTGCTAAAATCACAAAATGGTTAATGTGTATTATCCTGTATTTTTATCTTGACTCCAGGAAAAAAAAAAAAAAAAACTTCTAATGAAACAAACTTCAAGTTCATAAGGTTACTCATGAGCAAACCTTCCATGCTGTGTGACTTCATTGAATTTGAGATAACTACGTGGATAAATAAAAACAAGCCAAAATGCTCTTCCTAATCTCATACAACAATTAACACAAAATATTCCTCTGGCTTCTTGTCACCAAAATATGTGGGGTTTTCTCCCTATACACCCACCAAGCAATATCCAGCAGATTTTCCAGAGAACACCAGCTGGGTGTCCTCTAATTCAACTTAATTCTGACACTAGCTAGCTGAAGTTAGCATCAGGTACCACAGGTTAAGAGCTCAGTCCCTTTTCCATAAGGATTAAGAATTGTAAGAAGACAACAAGTTAGAATAAAGGTTGAAACAGGCAACATTTTAATAACATCCTTGAATAGAATTCTATCTATGAAATAAATAAGGATAATAAATATCCTCATTTCCCACATAGAAAACAATAAACAGGCAAAATAAACCTTTTGAAGGTTCAATCTACCTTCAAAAGTCCACAATAAAATTTCCTGTACTCAGAGATGAAAACCCATTAAATGAATTCATCTTTATTGCTAAAATTTACATACGTAATTAGATGGAAACAGTATGTCATTTAAGATGTCACATCAAAGGGGTTCCTAGTATACCACTTCTATTGGTCTTACTGAGCAACAGGCTCACTTCCAAACACACATAAAAACTGATACTATGGTACTAGCTTTTGAGACAGCAAAGGCTTTATTGAGATGCTAGCCAGCAAGGAGATAGGAGGTGTGGCTCATATCTGTCTCCCTGATTTGGGGTATGGGGCAAGTTTTAAGGGGTTGGAAAACAAAGGAAAACATTAGGAATGTTGGCTTGGGAGGGTCTGATTAGAGGGCTTCAAATTTGACCATTTACAGTAAGGTAAGTTGAGGTGGACTTTAACACCCGATTTTCCTGGCCAACAGACCCCTCACTTCTGAAAGGGCACCAGCATTCAGGTTCTGGTCATGTCCTGGTCTTCTTGGTTCCACGGGGAGGAAACATCAGTTCTGGATGTTGTTAGAGGTCAAAGCTTTCTCTATTGAGCATGCCCAGGCTACGTGACTTGCTGTTTTGGCTCTGTTATACCTACAAAGTGACTCAACATCCTGTTAACAGAGTAGGGCTGGTATGGGGTGGTGCTAAGCTTACACTGGCATTGCTGGTAAATTTTCCTTTAGGAAAAAATCTCAGAAAATTTAAAATCATCAGTGTATTTTCTGTAAGGTTGTGACATATTCTAATGAATATTTGGAAATATGGAAACCCACTCATATCATATACTATAATTTTCCATTATTTAGCAATCTAAGGCATCTAAGGGAATGAATTATTAATTAGAGAAATTATCACTGTGTTCATTTCTCACTGTTGGAAAAATCCTTAAGCAAGAGGATACTGAACATTGAATCATAATGTAAAAAAATATATACTGGGGCATAGATGATATGTTTCTGCTTGTAGTTCATTATGGCATAACTCAGTGCTCCACATTGGGCAGAATGATGTTTATCTGATAACAGATATCTTGATTTCACAGAAATACCAGTAGGACCTGCATCTCATTTTTTTCCCCTTCCCTGTATAAATCAATATCCAATTAATACAACTTGCTACCTGGAATTTCTTAGTTCTCTTCAATTGTTGCTTCAGAATGAATAGCTAGTCCTTTGTATTGTCTCCTATTGTAATTACCCAACCCAACTTCAAAACAGACATCTTTATTGCAAGCAGTAATTGCCTGAATAAAAACTCAACATGTCTGGGTTCTGGTCATGTCCTGATCTTCTTGGTTCCACATGGAGGAAACATCAGTATCAGGTGTTGTTAGAGGTCAAAGCTTTCCCTGTTGAACATGCTCAACAGCATTTCTTGATGTTCAGATGGCTTACCTTACAATGATACCATCATGTTTCTCAACATTCTGGGTTTTGATCAAATACTCTCAAAGCGGAAGAATGATACTTTTTAATCCTTAGAAACAGTTGTACTCATTTTACAAGTTTAGGATCATAAGCCAAATTTATTTCCTCTTAGATACTGTGTTTATAATTGTGTATCACTCTCCCCACCAACTGAGGTGTAAACCTCAGTTATGAACATGTGATTAACTTGTATCATAAATTAAGTTGGCTGAGAGTAATTCAAGTTTTCACATCATAAACAAAAAGAATACTTTAAATTATAATGCATATCAACATTAAAATCAGAATATTTTTAAAATGTACAAAAAGTGTAAAGAAATAAGATACTATGGTATATTTTTGTATCTGTAATACCCAACTCCTATCATAAACTGATTATCTGAACATTTTTCCTGTTGTAAGTAACTGTCCTAATGTGACCCTGAATGTCTTCACAAATTTGAGTGGAACATTACTTTCTGATGCATCACAAATCTTTATTTTTGGAATAAAACATTTCATTGGACCACTTGATCATTTCTGCAAACTTAATCCCTGTTCTGCCAAATTCTCTCTCAAAATACAATACAAATACTCTGTCACACCTTAAAGTGATGTTTTATATTGAATTATGGCAATTAAAGAAATGATACTTATTTACTCTGATAGCCTATGTTCTAATCCTGATCTGTTATTAATTGGCTGTATAAACTTGCCTATACCAGTGCTTTTGCCAACATCTGTTAAAAAAAAAAAAAAGGTGATTAACTGCTTTATCTTCAAGGTCCATTCAAATTATCTTTAAGATTTCATTTCATTTTTAAATTTAAATATTATATTCCTCACCTGGAAATGGTGAAAGAGAAAGACAGCTCATAGTGTAAGTGATCTCTTTATCTGCAGGCAAACCCTGCTTCTGTTCGGTTGACTACCTCTCAAAGAAGAAAAAAAAGCATTCATTTATTTATCCATTAAATTTATCTATTTAGCATTCAAAACATATTTGTTTTTCTACTTGTCTGTATCAGACACCTTGATAGGTACTAAGAATTCAATGATGAGCAAGACATTACTGGAAATCAACTAACTCACTTGCTATGACTTCATTAGGAAATAGTACACAACATTCTACTTGAAACCAACATTCTACTTGGCCGTGATATATAGCTTGATATTTTAAAACTTTAATTTGGAACACAACTGTTTTCCAAAATGGTCGTTGCCTTTTGGGGATAAATAATTAGAAAGCATCACTTAAATACAAACTTGTATAAAATTTTTGAGTTGATAAATAAACATAGTTCTACTATGCCCACACTGCCCAAGAAACCTTTCTGTGGTGATCGAACTGTTCTATAACCCGAGTTGTCAAATATGGTAATCATTACCACATGAAGCTATTGAAGGTTTGATATGTGACTTATGCAACTGAGGAACTGAATTTTTAATTTTATTTAATTTTAAATAATTTTAATTTAAATAGCTACATTTGGCTACTATATTGGACAACACAGCATATCTAACCCCTGAGCTCATATGAAATAACATTTCACTTTGAGTGAAACTTCCAAATATCTTCTTGACTGCTATTTTACCATATAAGAAAGGAACTTAGTGAACACCTTGTGCATAATGCTTTTGATAATGATTTTCACATTGCATTGTGTATATATTTACATATCTTTTCTTCATTCAGAAATGTGCTACTCCAGTAATTATTATATCTTATTACATTTATACCTTTTTTGTTTAGCATAGTCACCTCTAATAGGCATGCTACGGCTATGAAATGAATTAAAGAATTAGTATAGTGAACTGCTTGACAATAGGTATCAAACAACTTTAGGGCTGTAATAATTAATCATGTAATTCCTTTTTGATTAATGGTGCTATGTTCTCATGGATCAAATAGCTAATAGAGCAGCCAAAATCAAAACCTCACCTGGAGAGGTGTTATTTGAATTAAATTCAATTTTCTTATCATGAAAAATGTTGAGTGAGCCAAAAGATAACATTCTTGGTTTCAAACGAATTACCCTAAATATTTAGAAAATCTTTTAAAAAATAATTTTTTTAATTTTTAAAAAACAATTTTTTCTGGCAATATAAAATTTATTCAAATCTAATTAATATGATATCATTTTTCTTGTGTGGAAAAAGACATTAATTTGAATATATACAATATAAGCAGTGGTTATTTTCCTATTTAAAATAGATTCTTTCAAAGGAATATATTTTGTACCTATGTCTACTGCACAAAATTTTAAATGTCTGTAATGTACTTATAATTGAGAGAGAGATGAAGAGAAACAATCCTAACATTTTTTAATTTCTATTGATCACTGCTGGTATTTCTCAAAACTGCTATGATGGCCAGCAATTTTGATCTCATGTCCAGAGTCTGCAATGGCTGACAATGACCTTGTTTTACGGAATTCTCCTTCTATTTAATGCTTAATGCTCAGCATTTTACTCACATTAGTGCCTTGCAGGTTTATGGCATTATTTTAGGGGCTCCTATATATCTTGTATCCAATATCTTAATAAATTTTATAACATTATGTAAACTGTTCCTAGGTGAGAGATATTTGGCAAGGCATAGAGCAGAAAATTTTCCTTTGGCTTGTCTTGGCTTGTTTCCTTTGGTCTGTTTTGTTTCTTGTTAGCCTTTTTCTTTCTTTCTTTCTTTTTTACAAAAATTTATTCTACACATTGCATAAAATTTTCAGAAGCTCAGGAAATAATGTCCTGTATGGTGTAATATGTACCTGCTGCTATCCTATGCTGAAGCCGGTACAAGAGGGAATAAGAGAATGGAAAGAGGAATATGTTTGTGTGGGGAGAGGGATGGGTCTTATTATTTTGCTTCTACTTTTTGG